GGGGGGGGGGGGAGGAACCCAACCAATATTTTGGCTCTTCTATTGTTTTTTTTGGCTAACATAAATCTACAAGTGCCTCCTTGTATTTTGGGTAGGGGAGAATAGGAGTTGCTATAGGAACCACCTGCTCCTGGGTTATGAGCAAAGCAATTTTCTTTACATAGAGAAATACATCTTTTTTTCACCGTTTAAAGAAAAAGGGCATTTCCGATACTCTGTGACCAATCAGGGTCTTGAAAAGTGCTGAGTTCTCAGTCTGTGTTATAGTTTATGTGTGTTAATGAAATAACTGATTTTCATATACACTTCAAATAATGACAGATAAACAGGAATTAAAGATATGTTTTGAGAACTGGTGCTCCCTGTAGAAACCTGGAAGATGAAGCTCTTCCCTGAATTCCCAGACCATTCTCAGATGTTCCCTTCTGTCAGCCCAGTAAGAAATTTGATTGTTATCTCTGGGAAACAGAGTTTTCTGCTGTGAACAAAGAAATGCTGCATGAACTCCAGGATATAAATCTTGAGTATCTGGAGTATTCACCAAAGATGTACTTGGAGAATATTTAGTTGTAAAAGAGGGATCACTTTATAGCTTTCGTTAGTTGCATGCTCGACTGCTCAGTTTTCTTTTTCTGTTAAGGCAAAGTTGCTACTTTGTGCAAGCTACCCGTTAATTTGGAGCTTATTAGTTTTTCCTTTTTGTCCTGCTGTATCTTTAACAGAGGCAGCTTTCTGAGTCAGGTCATGTTGTGCCACCTCTTCAAGCTCTACCTTCTTAAAGAGCTGGGCAGGCAATACCTTTTACAGAAATGTCTGTGTTTGACTCCTGCAGTGTTCAGCAAGTTCTGCCCTGTTTTGAGGCCGTCTGAAGCAGAACGAAGTAATGTCTCCTTTCCACTCAAGCGAAGCAGAGAATTTCTCTGGCCAGGGCTGTGTGCACAAGCAGATCAATCAGCTTTGACTTGGCTTTATCTCATAAGTCAGAGTTCATTGCTGATCCAACTAATTCATCACTGAACATTCAGAATTGGAGACTGAGACTGACTGATCCTCCTCTGCTCCTAAGGCAGGCAGTGTAGACCATAAATATAAAACTTTGTTACTCATTTCCATCCCTTTAATGTAGTTCTGAGGGAGAAGGAGCTTTCAGAGAGTGCAGTTTGGTCTCAGTTCAGGAAAATACTATACATCACACCACCATTTAAACTTCTGGGTTGGGTTCAGCCTTGAAAAAAATCTGTATTTCTCTGTCTAAGAGGAGGTTGCCTATGAAAAAAACGTGGAAGAAAGTAAGTGGTGAGCCATTAAGTCTGTGACTGTTATAGGAAGCAAGGGCGAAGTGAATGGTACGTTCAGATGTAAACTGAACAGAAGCAGAACAGAGTGAAAACCTAAAGTCAAGGGCAGGGACTCTACAATGTGTAATAACCAATACAAAATGCTAGGAAACATTTCCATGTTTGTGGCAGCTAGTCTAATAAGAATCAAGAAGTACTACTCTATCAGCTTTTTAGCTTGTTGGCATCTGTCAGATGTGTTTAGCAATAGTCTAAAAACAAGTCTGGCAAAATTGGTTCCACTGCTGAAAAAATGAAATGATTGCAAGAATGATTTGAAAGGGAAGGAAAAAAGGCAAGAAACTTGCTCTAGAGTGATCATGTACTGCATGTGTACATCTGTTTTGTAGCAGGTAGCAAAAGACATCAGCTACATTCTGTGTCTACACTCTGTAAGTGCAAGTGAAAATAGACACAACAGGTGCAAGGTACATTTCAGGGAATTTAAAGTGTGTTTTGTATTGTGTCTAACAGGGTGATGCATGATGAAGTGAGTGACACAGAAAACATCCGGAAGAATCTAGCCATAGAAAGAACGATAGTAGAAGGCTGTGATATATTACTAGATACCAGCCAAACTTTTATACGCCAAGGTAAGACATTCTTCTTTAAAGCTATCCATATAATCATGAAAAATATTGCATGAAAACCAGGAGGGTTTGTGTTGCCATCTTTGGGCATGTCCCTGCACTGGGGACAGCTAACTAAGACTACTCACGGTCAGTGGAGGTTAAGTCACAAAATGCCCTGATGACAACTGATTTTGGGCTGTAGTTGAACGCCACTTCTGAGCTGTTTTCTTCATGAACCATGAAAAACAGCCGCACATGAATGGTAAGACATCCATGGGACAGTAATGTACGTACTGCCTGGACTGTGATCTTCAAAGGGATGGAAATGACCTACAGGTCCACAGAGATCAGGGCTGCCTGGCCAGTTAACGTGGCAGTCCCAGCTGATACCAACATTTGGGCAAAAATGCAGGAGAAGCTTGAAGCTTTGTCAGTGGTAAAGGGATTGCTAGGAAACAAAACAGCTATCAGTTGTTCCCATTTTTCTCAGTGCTTTGGAAATATCTCAAATTGATAGTGCGAGCATAGATATAATACCTGAACATACTCACTTTGCCTCTTGAGAGATGCATTTTTGGGCTGTAGTAGAAGTTCAGGATAGATATAAAAAGCACTTCTGCAAGAAGAAGTCATGAAGAAAAGGCATCCTGTGTTCTGCTGGGAACGTAGGACTACTTCTGATATAATAGTTAGCAAAACAAGAGAGGAAGAGCCATACTGTATTCTTTTCTGTCTATTCTTGGTGGTTTTGGAAACTCTTTCTGTTGAAGCTTAGGTGTAGCAGAGGAATTTGTTGTTATGTTCCACAAAATCACGATAAAATAACTTTTCCATTTAAAGTAAGTGTCGCTTTTTACCTGGAACAGCAAACTGGTTGCAGTTCTTATTTGGTGGGATTTACTTTAATGTTAAATCAACAAATGTGAAAACTTATAACTGAAGCTTATTCTTCTCCCATTTATATAATAATGTACTTCTGGATCTTTTGTAACAAGTTAGTGGGTTTGCATATAATAACTACAGATCTGTAGCGTAGGGTTTTTACTAGGTACAAGCTTCTTTATGTCTGAAAAGTGTTAAATGTATTTAGGAAAGGTTAGGAATGTAACATCCTTTCATGTGACCTTTTCTAGATAGCCTCAGCAGAATATTTGGTGCTTAAATAGAGCCATATACACAGCTGGTAATTTAGTAGGTTTTATATACATTTTGAAATCCATTCTCTGGTGTTTCTGTAGTCATGTGGCCAAACTAACTATGAAACGTTCCATAATGACTTCCAAGATTGTTTGTAAAACTGTCACTGTTTTGTGATTCTTGATTCTTCATTAAATATGTGTGTTTGTTAAAACGGAGGTATTTAAAGAGTTTTGAATTTGGCTTTGAGAAAAATATGAAGCTGTTGTGTTGCATCCACAGCCAAAAAATTATAGGGCTATGATTCTCCTAGATTGACTTGTACCATGCAATTTAATTAAATTTTAGCATTTTTTTTCAATATCATTACAACATTTTGTATTTATATATTTGTTGGTTTTTTCCCCTTTAGATTGGCTGGTATTATTTTGTCTGTGTACCCAGTGTTTCATCAGTATTATTTTTTCTGTGGGAATCAGTCTGAAAAAGATTACTGTTGGAGTGTTAGACCCAGGTCAAACCCATAGTTTAGCTAAATTAAATTCAGATTTATTTCTGGGCCTACAGTCAGAAGATAGTGGATGAGACTGTATGTTACGGAAGGCTGTACCACAGTTTTGTATTTTGGAACATCCACTGCATGTGATTTTGTGTAAGTGCAGAAATCTGAATAAAGCTAATGAAGTAACACTGAGCCCGTTTTGCTTTCAAATCTGACAGTAGGGTCAGTTCGACGGTGATGTCTGTCTCCTCTAACTTCAATTAGGCTCCTATTCTTTGAGCTGATCCAGCGTGGATGGGTACAGGAAACCTCTTTTCAGCTTAAAAAAGGAGAGAGCTGCCTTTAGCTTTGTTTAGGCTTTTTCTGTGAAGGTTAGTTACAACTTTGCCATATGTTATGTACTTTACTTTTCTAAGAAGAGGTTGCTTAGTTAAGACCATAGGAAGTATCTCTGGCAGTGCTTTGCAATGTAGATTGTGGATTCCCCTTCAGGTTTCTTGGGGTCTCCTTTTCTGTGTCTCTTACTTTGATACAGGCTTTATTGTCAGGCACACTGTAAGTCATGGCAGACAATTAAGGAACATTTTCTTTAAGAATCTAAACGAGACATAGGGAGTCGCAATCTGCAATCCAGCATTGTTGACACCCAGACAACTGGGCATCTGGAGGCCCTTTAGATGCATCCAAACACTCTGTCTGATGTTCCTGCCATCAGCTGCTATGAATTTACCTCTGCTGATAAATATATAACAACTACAAAATCATGGAATAGTTGAGGTTGGAAGGGTCTTTCGGAAATTATCCAGTCCAATCTCACCTGCTCAAAGCAGCATCAGCTGGAGCAGGTTGCTCTGTACCCTGTCCAGTTGGGTTTTGTTTGTTTACAAGGATGGAGACTCCACAGCTCCACAGCTCATTCTCTGAGTGAGCAACCTGTTCCAGTGTTTGACCATCCTTACAGTAAAATTAAAAGGCCTCCAGAATGGAGAAAGCTAAACTGAATTTGTACATCAGGGAGTTAAGTGTAGACTGAAAAATATTTTTTTTTTAAAAATACAATCTTTTGTATTTCTTGGATTGAAAATAGACTAATAGAGTGATTATTCTGGCAGTATTGAAGTACTGAAAGTGCTTAGGTCTGTAGCTGGATAAAAATTCCTGAGATTACACTGATCCTCCAAACTATACTATTAACGAATGTTCTAAAATTAGCCTCACTTGCTCATTGCAACTGTACATTGGCCAATCGTGGCCTTTTTTTTCCTTAAGAGGAAATCTGTAGTACAATACAATGCATGGTGGGCAAATGCCCAGTTTCATTAATCACAAAAGCTTGATGGGAATGCATGAGGTCCTTGCTTGATGTCAGCCTTGCAGCACGTATAGCAGATGTGTTTCCCTCTGTAAATATTGAGTATCGAAGAGAGATAATGCAGTCTCTCTTTCCTGCATTTAAAAAAACTAGTTTCTTTTCATTTACCTTATTAAACAATAACATTTCAGCTCCATACAAGAACACCATCTAACCTTCAGCCCATTTTAGCAGAGCATAATATGGTATTCCTGAAAGCATCGTAATGAAAATCCAAAAAGTAAAATAGAAGGCGAGTTCCAAAGCTATATCTGTAAGTGTATCATATTTATAGATACTATTATTCTAAGGAGCAAAGCAGAAATGAAATGTACAGGTAGAATATTGTTATCCTACATGTGTAGAGAGAATTTCAGGAGAAAAATGACACTGACAATTTTGCGATGGGAAGTTACTTGGGAATTGTTCTGTACACACTCCTTGGCCTTGCCATGGGAGCTGGGGGGCAAATGGTGTAACGGGAAAGCCACAGTTCCAACACATGGGAATGAGCTCCTCCTGTCTTTCACAGTTGAGGCTGGTAGGCTGTTTTGTCCAGGGGAAATGCACAGCAAGCAGTAAGTATTTATGGGTTTTGGTCAGAATTTAAGTGAGCCTGAAAATGTTCCAGACCTTTGGAAATTTCTAGAGTAGAACTTGATCCCACTGTTTTGTTGCAGTGACAAATCACGTTGTACACATTTAGTTAAAATATGAATTGGCTGTCAAAGAACACTATACTGTTGTAAATTTACTGGTGTATATTTTGCTGTGCCAGACAGTATAAGTTTCAAATATATTAATAACGTAAGAGTTATTAAATGTATAGAGGGAGCCAAGTGTAGAAAAATGTAGATAATCAGTAGCTTTCTCATTTACCTTAATTTCTGTGTTTGTTATTTTAGGATCGTGTATGTGAACTTTGAACAAGATAATTTTTTTGACAATGTACAGTAAGAATTACTAATACAGTATTTCATGGATAATTCTTTCAGGCTTGCATTGTGTCAAGACATTGCCGCTATTTTGAGCTTTGATATAGCTATGCTAGTCCAGTATCTTGTTGCCTCCAAAAGAAGCAGGCCAATATCCATCCCCTCATGCTTGTTCTGCTGCTCTTACTTCCTTGGCATCATCACTGGTGCTTTTTTGACCTTGCAGTGAGGCATGTCAGGGAGCTAAGTTAGTTACTTCTTTGTAGCATTAAGTTTCCTGCTGGTTTAGCTCTATTAGCTAGCTAATATTGGAATAAGTTGAGAGCAAGTATAAGGGTGATAGTAAGGATAGATGTGAGGGAATGAGATTAGGAGGTCTCCTGGCTGCCCTGTCTGATAATACCAAGTTGTATCATAAAATCTTTCCCTTTGATACACAGAGGAATTGCACTTCGCCACCAAATTTGACTCCAGACCCAAAACCAGAAGTGATACACAATCTGGATAATTGTGATATCAATCTGGAAAAGTTGGTCAGAGACTGGTTTTGAGCTATGAAACGGCAGAGAAGCAAAGCTGTCCCCAGTCTGGAGTTCTGCAGAGCGCAAATTCAGAATTATGTAACCAGGTTCAATTTAGTTCAGAAGTGTTTTACTGGTAACACATTTTAGATGAGCTGTGGAGTACTGAAAATTACGCAGTATAAGATAAGAGGAAGAAAAGTGCTTCATTTCCATCTCTATTGCACACAGGCACACATACACCAATTCTTTTCCTTCAAAACCTGTTCTTTTCATCCTCTGTTTCTTTGGCTTATAAGTGATGTATCTTTTGCAAGTCTAGCAGCTGTCAAAAGTGCAGTTTGCTGTCCAGCTTCATTTTCTGATCAATGTCCTATTAGTGCGTTTAAATTGCATAAGAATTTGTCCAAGATCTAATCCTGCCATCTACATAAGTATTAGTCTAGACTGTACTTGCTTGAGTCTATTTATCATAAAAAACAAAGTGAACTTGTGCAAAAAAAGATGATTGACTTGTGCTTAAAACAGATCCTGATGTATATTGTTACTTTCTAGAATGAAAAGTTGCATTAATTAATATCGTAATATTCAATACATGAACACTTTAAACACTTGCTACTAAATATTACTATAGTAAAAGTAAATATATTAAATAGTAAATATATTAAATAGTAAATTTTTTGTCTTTATTATCAGGTTCCCTTATTCAAGTCCCTTCAGTTGAGAGGGGAAAACTTAGTAAAGTTCGTCTGGGATCATTATCTTTGAAAAAAGAAGGAGAAAGGCAGTGCTTCTTATTTACAAAACATTTTTTAATTTGTACAAGAAGTTCAGGAGGAAAACTGCATCTGCTCAAGGTACAGACTTTACATTATGACTCAATTTACAAAATGAAAACACAACTTCAGTGAAATTTCAGTATTTTATTGTTCTAGGGCTTTAACCTGGGATTTTTGTGTGTAGTTATAAAGAGAAATGAGGTGATGCACAGTGATTGACTTCTCTGTCTTCTCATTGCAAATAATAGAATTCAGCCAAAGTTTTTTATACCTACATCTTTTTTTCTAGAACCGTGTAATTCTTATAAGCTGGGGGTCAGAAACAAGACATCAACATGTCTATCTGTATAAGCTAGCACTGAATGTAAGTCAGTTTTCAGTGTATAAATCAGCCAGTACAACTCTGTGGAATTACCAATGAATAATTTCCAGAGCTCTAATAAAATTAATTTTAAAAGTCAATTCTGTTTTCCTGAACAGCACATTCTCTTAAACTGAAAGCTCTTCTAAGAACACTTTACTTATATTTGTTGAGAATCAGGCTTTCATAGTGTAGACTTATGAAGAAAGAGAGATTGGTACAGGGTGGGTTATGTATTGAACAGAATTTTAATTTGACAAAGACATTTCTGAGGGGTCATTAAGACTGTTTGTATGCTTTCTCACCCTTAAATAGTTTGTATGCACCCCTTAAATAGTTCAAGTATTTTGCAAGGTAAATAAGACTATAACTGAACCTTTAAAAAAGTCTTGTTTGTATTTGATTTAAATTCAGGAGAAGATGAAATTCTAGTTGCCTTTCTTGAAACTTGTGAACAAGTATGTATGTGAGATAAATTATAGTATGATAAAAATGAAAGAAATTTTGTACGTGTGAGCATATTATTGATTTGTTGGATTAAGAAAAATGTTATATTTAATTACCTGGTTTTAGTTCTTGAGGAAAAATGTGCATCATGAAATTGATATATCCTCCTAAGAGCTCTGAGTAATGTAAAATCTTAGAGTAAGGTATATCAAAGTTTAAAAATAACTATAATAACAAATGGGAACAAATGTCAAAATTTGTGAAAAATGTGCTTTGTTTTCGTAGACAGGAGGTGTTCTGTCTTTAATAGAGTGCACACTGATCGAGGAGACAGACGCAAGTGATGATGATTGTAAGTTACATTCAGCTGTTTGCAGTAATTACAGTTTCTGGTTTCTTAAAATTGGTACCCTTTGTTTATTTTTCATACGAGCAAATTGATATGTTCTCCCCTTTCATGAAAGCAGAGGAGTACAATGTTAAACTGATTCAGTAGAATAGATGTTTTAATAACGGACGTGCTGGCTTGGATAAGGGTTTGTTTTGTTATGTTTGTTCTTGCTGTTGACATCCCACATAGGATTTTCAAGTAGACTGGCTGAAAGAATGTGACAAATTATTTGTTGACTTTTGTATACAACTTCAAAAAATACGCCTTAAAAGAAGAAGCAGATAATTGGGTTTCTTAAATACATGGGGATTGAGTGTGTTGGCAGAAGTAGTGGAAAGTTTTTGTCTTGGACTCCCTACAAATCTTGACTGCAAGCTTGTTCAAATGAAATAACAAAGCACATTCCCAAGCTGATTTTATTGTTACTAATTTTGGCTTCCATCCTGCAGTTTTAGGCAAGTTTTGCACGTGAATTGTGAAAGTAGTTTCATTAATTTCAGTGATACTTTTAGTAGGCTGAGAGTATACCAGCATAGAAGTGTTTGAAGGACTTTAGTCTTATTTCGCATCTTTAAAAGTAATTTATAGGGACTCCTGCTATTGCATGTTTGTAATTTTTTTTGTATTTGGTGTATGTGAATAACAAAATCAGTTTTGGATCCCCAATTGGATTTGCTCTTTGTCAGAGAGATGTTTTAAACTAACTTCCATTTTGAATTAAAACATTATTTTCTTCATTTTATAATCTGAAATCTCACATTTTGACTGTTTTTCTCCCCTCTGACTGTAAAGCAAAAGGTTCTGGACAAGTGTTTGGACATCTTGATTTCAAGCTTGTAGTTGAACCTACGGATGCGCCTCCTTTTACCGTTGTCCTTTTAGCCCCATCACGACAGGAGAAAGCTGCATGGACAAGTGATATAAGTCAGGTAGCTCAATGCATTCTTTATGTTATGTTGTTTGTATTGAGATCTTAGTTTATTCTGCATTTCTGAAAACTAATCCAAGAGAGGGACGTTGATTTCTTGAGGCCTCATTTTCTGTGATGTATATGAAAAACCCTTAGTGTTGCCTGTTTTCCTCAAAATTCTGTCTTTGCATTTGAGTCATCAAAATGTGTTTCTCAATGAAAGAGATGGGATATATAATACAAAATTGTCAGTTGACAAACATAATACTAATGGTAGTCATTTTTATGTCTAAGTAGAGCCCATCCAGATGTGTATTTTAATTTAAGAAGAAGGTTCAAGAAGAACTTGTTTGTTCATAAATTTCATGCAGATCAAAAAACACCTGAGAATCCTGAGAGTGAAAATGATACCCATATCATATCAATATCATATCCCATGCAGTAAAAAAATGAGATGAACTCTGTTTTCCACAAAAAAGAATACTAAAAAAACATTTTAAATAGTTACTAAGCATTCTGACAATCTGCAGGAACTGTCTTTATTGTGAATCAAAAAAATGGTGTTTTAAAATACTTTAGTATCAGGGATAAAATTTTTTTTTTTAGTGCTTTTGGCTAAAAACATGGTAGACAAGCTTTTATCAGAATCTATCTGGGGAAAGAAGCTGAATGCACTATGAAAAATCTGAACATTCAACTAACAGATCTGAATTTAGGCAATTGCAGTTTTGTTTATGCATGCAACTAACAAGTACATAGATTTCTCACAGTTCTGAATTTGATTCCTAGTCTCTATTAATTTCAAGGTAAATAGTTGATTAGACAAATATCAGTGTGGAATTTGATGGATTTCTAAAGATGCTACCATTGCTGGCAACATCTCCAGACGAATTATCATCATAATGAGTAGAAATCGCTTAAAAATAAGTGTTCTGAGTTACTTTCTTCTGGACTTTTTTAAAGAAATAAAAATATGGAGAGAAAAATCTGAAAATACAGTATGAGCTGAGAACCTTGGTCTCACTGCAACTGAGTACATACAGATCTTACAGACAGACCTGGTTGGAGAATTTTTTACAAAATGGATTTTCAGTTAATTATGTTGTTCCATTGACATGTAAAAGTACTGGAATTATTTCCTCCTATGGGGAGGAAAGACCATTTAAGAACTGGCCTGGAACATGGGACACCCAGGAATAAGTCCATTCTTATCCTAAATAATAATGAATTTAAATGAGAAAGGAACCTGCAGTCCATGTAGACTAAAGATCAGAGTTTGGATCTGCCTCTAAAGGTCTTCTCCTCCAAACCACTCCAACTCCAAACGACGCTACTGTGGTGTCATGGAAAGAGTTGAAAAGCTCCACAGCTGACTTGAGATCTGCGTGCCTACAAAGCTTGGAAGTGTCTTAGCAAGGCAGAGGTAAACACGACCACAGCTGAGAGAGCAAAGGGTTGCCAGACTGCCAGAGAAAAACAGTAAGAAGCGTTTCTCCCTTGATCCCTCTTTGAGGAAGGGGAGATCTCCCGGCTTTTGAAGACCGGGGTATTCTGAAGAGATATGGGACCAACAATTAACAGCAGCTTATAAGTGAAAACCTGAGAAAACTGTGATTTATTAGCACTGTGAGGCTGAAAAAGCTTCTCCAGCCTTACAAAGGAAGGGAAGCCAGAGATGCTAAGGGGATAAGCAGCAGCTTAAAAGAAAAAACGAGTAAGAAGGGGTGCAAGATGCTGTGCAGACTGCACAGACATTTGGGGCGTGAATTGGTATCGCTGTTTACAAGTAGCAATCAAGTCAGTTGATTTAGCACTTATGCTCAATCTGGAGAGCAAGAAAGAACAAAGTAAGAAGCATGCTACCCATCTTCTGCTGGACAAAGAAAATTTGGGGTGAAAATTTGGATAACGCATGAGAACTTCTAAACAATCTTGAGACCAGTTGTCTCATGAAAACTAAATTGTGTTTCTGACTAAGCCCATTTCCACAGAAACTGTGCCATAAAAAATTACTGAATCGCCTGCTCAGAAGTATTTTTTTCTTTCTAACTCTGGCTACAACCCTCAAGGAAAGCATATGAACTATGCTAACAAAAAGGGCATGTAAAAAGTATTTTTTTAGTAAATGTGTTCTCCTATGTTTGCAAGTAAAACAAGTGTACATGTAGTTGCTGTTCACTCAGAGCATTAGTGTTGGTGTCCAGAATTCTGCATCTTGTTAAATTATATATGCGTATGACATAGAAGTCATATTTGTCTATACGTTCCTAGTGAGGCTTCTTGAATTTATATTCCTTTCATACAAACCATATAATTCTTATGAAAAATGCATGTTTTTTGTTGATGCTGAAGAAGCCTCCTCCCTTCTAGTTTGAGCTTGTTGTCCTTCGGCCCTAGATCCCCATTACACTCATTCCTTAGCTAGAATGATAATATCTGTCAGGGAGGTGATAAATGCTAGGTCTATGCAGACTAAAGATAACAGTGCTGAATTACCTTAGGCAGTTTTATGATTGGTGCTAAGGGCTTCTTTGCAACATTTAAAATTCAGATGGGGGAAATTATGTATTTTTATTAGATGTGTTTTTCTCAGTGCTTCTAGGTAACGATTTGATAAAATCATAATATGAATTGTTACAACTGCACTTTTCAAATAGTCTTAAATACTTGATTTTAAACCACATATACTACATAGATCATATTTTAAATGTATAGCTATGTAGATATATTTTCAACCTGAAGATTATCTTTTTTGACCAATCTAACATCAATCATTATTTTTCTATGAGATGTTCCAAAGGCAGCAGACTATTTTTATTCTTATAGTCAATGTAAATGTGTATGATAATTTTGGAAACTCCTTTTTATTGACGTGAATAAATACTGTAACATATTTTTATATATATATATATGTCCGATACATGATGAATAAAACTAGAAGATGAGTCCTGTAGCATTAGATAGGGGGTACTTTTTGCAGACGATATAAGCCTGATCCACTAGCAGGCACTCTGCTGGCGTCCAAGATCGAGGCTTGTGGTGCTGTGTTATCGTAACTACATAAAAGTACCAACCAGAAGATAACGGTGTACAAATGGCTTTGAGCTACCCCTATGCACTGCCAGCACTGAGCAGCTTTGAGGCTTGAAGAACCAGCTTATGCACCCCTGGTTTGTAAACTTCTACTGGCCACATGACAGCCTGTAAATTCTAAATTAGTATGTGCTGCGACCGTGCCCCAGAAGTGTCTTTCCAGCTTCTAGTACCTAGCCCAAAACACTTATACAACAGTTTGCAAGGAACTCCTTGGACAGCATGTTCATAGCTATGTTTCACCATAACAGCACCACTTGAATTTGTTTTTACAAGTGTGTTTCTAGAAACTGTTTATATTTTTCTTTGGTCTTTCTGCACAGTGTAAAGGTTAAGATATTGGTGTATCAGTTTGTGTATAAAGTATTCTAACTTTCTTGCAGTATAGATTTTTCAAGCTTAACACTGATTCAGGAAATGCTAGAGATGATACTTATTTTTTGTTCAGTTTCAAAGGAATTTCAAAGGAAATTTCACTTCCAACTCAAAATACTTAATCATGTGGAAAAAAAGATGCTGAGCTGAATACTGTGAGTGTGCCAGTAAAGAGTGGACTTGCAGATGTGCAAATCAAAGGAAGAAGAGTAGAGAAGCATGTCCACTGTAATTCTTGCATCAGTGCTTTTCATTTATGAAAATACCTTTTACCAATCAGTCCATACCCTGTAAAAGCTATGCTTTAAGCTTACAGAGATATGAAAAGTGTGGAAGTAAGTACTCTTACCCTGTGTTTTTTTAACAGTTCTCAATGTTTATTTTCACAGTGCATTGATAATATAAGGTGCAATGGTTTAATGACCATAGTGTTTGAAGAAAACTCAAAAGTCACGGTGCCACATATGATCAAGTAAGTGCAGCATTTTTTTTCCCAGTGAACAAAATAGCTTGCTGGTTTTTTTAATAAAAGTTTTAACAAAAGAAAATGTGTGTTTGGAAAATACAACCTTTAAATTTACTTTTTTCCCCATTTTTGTTGCATGGAATTAATTCTACATCCCAATACGTATCTTTTCAAATCCTTTTCTTGGAGTGGTAGGGATAACTCAAAATGGTAAATTCTCAATACACAGTATTGGACTGTATAGGATCACAACTCAGATTTTTCTATTATTAGTGAAGTTTCCTTCAGTTATGCTTCCGGTGAATAATTTTATTCTTTGTTAGCTTTTCTCTGTCATACCACTCATAATTTTATTGAATATATTTTAAAACGTCTTAAAAATTTGGGTGAGTGCAGAGAAGTATCATTTCCAAGGTATTTTGTTGTATTGGCCAAAATTTTCCTTCTCTTTGTTTCTCTTATTTCTGAGAAAAAAATATTTTCTCTCATAATTTTAACTGATCACATCAAGGTAACATCATTATTCATAAACCTGCTTCCTTCACCCTTGGATTCTTTTACCTCTCGGATCCTCTACAGATCTGTATTTACATGAGTTTTACCTACTATTATCCAATATAAATATTAAGGAATAGAACATGGGAATAAAAAAATACAAGTATTTCCTTTCTAACTTTCGTCTGCCACTGGGTCATTTCTCTCTCTTGTGTGTACTCCATACATGAAGGTTTCTCAAATGCCTCTTCTGTAGTTGTTGCCTCTCCTCTCTTTGTACATGTTTAGAAATGAAAAAGAGATAACATCTGTGAATACACTCTTAGGGCACATACCTTTGATCCCTGAAAAGAAGGCATTTTATTGTCTTCATTTTTATTCCAGGAACTCTCCAGTTTGTAAACACTTCTGATACCTGCTGAATGTTAACAGTATGTTCATCTGTTTTCAAGTTGTAGAGTACAGCAAGGTCTTAATCCCAATGTCAAGAGAAAGAAATCTTAATTCTAAAAAATGTATAGGATCTTAACAACAGGCACAAATTTGGTGTCTCTTTCTGAGATTTTACTCATCTGATTTTTAGCACACATTGACTTTGAGAGTCAGATGTCTTTGGATGAAATAAAAAAAAATTGCCACTTTTCAGAGGACTGAACTTAAGAAAGAAGAACTTTTTTTTGTTTTTTTCCTGTAATGCAGTGTAGAAGTGTGTGGAATATCTTGATAATGTATTCTAAGAAAATCCAATCATTTTTACTGAAAAGATCGGGCAGTATTGAAAAATGCTTTACTTAGTATCCACCCCATTTTTTTATGAACTAAGCCTTCAACTAGATAAAATTAAGCAAAACTGAATTTGGAAAAAAAACCATCATGAGTAGGATTATGTAAATGATTAATTTTTTTTTTTAAGTCCAAACAAAAATTAGTCCCAATTTTTTTACTGCAACAAAGCAGTAAAACCTTTCATGGTTTCTGCTTTGAAATTTGAGATGTTTCACGCTGTTCCCATTTGCTTTTTAAAAAAAAAAGTTCTTGGAGCCTGAGGGCTTACAAGTGAGCTTTAAGCTTAGCTGAGGGGTTAATTTTCTGTCTCTTGCTGGAGTCCATTAGTTATTTTGTATAAAGCAAGAAAAAATTGCCATCAGTCCACAACTATTCTATAGTGAGCTTCTTGTACTATTGCCCTATAGGCCACAACAGCCTGAAAGAGACAAGAGGGGACAATTCTGCCTCCTGTTTCATTTCAGAAATTTAGGCTTCATGAACGATTTCTTAGATTTTGAAATGTAAATTAATTATTTGCCAAAAATAAAATTTAAATCACCGTAGTTATGACATAAAATATAACTGAATGGAAGCAGGTTTCACCACAAATTAAGAGTTTTCTTGTGTTGATGAAGTACGAGAATGCATATATATTTGCTGATTCTATGTTGACAGGAGCAGCTAAAGTGATATCACTACTGTACCATAATCACTCTTGCTGTTTGGTAAAATGTTCTAAATTTAATTTTTGTCTAGATCTGATGCTCGTCTTCATAGAGATGACATTGATATCTGCTTCAGCAAAACACTGAATTCCTGCAAAGTACCCCAAATCCGTTATGCAAGCGTTGAGCGCCTTTTGGAGCGGCTAACAGACTTGCGATTTCTAAGTATTGATTTCCTGAATACGTTCCTACATACTTACCGCATATTTACTACTGCAGCTGTTGTACTGGAAAAACTTTCAGACATATACAGACGGCCCTTCACTTCCATTCCCGTCAGGTGAGCTCTAGCATTTTTTTCCTTCTATCATAGATTTCTTTACAGAATTACCATTTGTTTGTTTATTTGTTTTTTACCATGTTTTTTTGTTATATGAATAATTTAAGGAGAAAGTTCTTCCTCTGTAAATAGGACCTAAGTTTTTAGATAAGTCGTCTCAACTTTCTGCCCAGGCTTTGAGAACTGAATGTCATACAGATTTTGCAGTGCCATGCAGATTTGCACAAAGTTTGTCTGTGTGTGTTTTCACTTGTTTGTTAACAAACACACTTGGTGTTTGTTATTATCTGTTGAGTTTTTTTCTTTCCCTCTCTCAGGTCTTTGGAGTTATTCTTTGCCACCAGTCAAAACAACAGAGGAGAGTACCTGGCTGATGGGAAGTCACCACATCTCTGTCGCAAGTTTTCTTCTCCTCCTCCGTTGTCACTTTCCAGAACTTCCTCACCTGTCAGAACCCGAAAACTCTCGTTGACCTCACCACTGAATTCAAGGATTGGTGCCCTTGACCTCTCTACTTCATCTGTGGCAAGCAGTCCTACCTCAACCTACAGCCCGGCCACCTCCCCCCCGCCAACGGGTAGCAAAGTACCGCTGGACCTTAGCAAAGGGCTTTCCTCTCCTGAGCAAAGCCCTGGCTCCATAGAGGACAGCTTGGAGAACCCTCGTGTTGACCTCTGTAACAAGCTGAGGAGAAGCATTCGAAGAGGTATTCTATACCCACAGAATACTGAATGTTACTTTTGATAAATAGGGTAGGCTCTAAGGTAGGCTTGACTTTTATCAGATTACTGCTGCGAAGTTGTTTCTCATGTCTTTTTTTTTCCCTCCTGATCACCGTAAGTTGTGTTGTGAAACCAAATACTCTGCGTTGTTTCTTCTCCAGTAGAGGCTGCGATGTGTTATCTGTTTCCACCGCTTTGTTGCGTCGTCTTTGTAGGAATAGCAGTATGGCAGAATGGCCTTGTCTGTTTTCACTTCAGCAGAGTGTTAAGGAGAAAGGCAGAAGGAAATACTTGATGCCAGTTGTGTTTCCTGAGGTGAAGGATTTTGGAGTTGTACCATTACTACAGGAAATAAAATATTAAGTTAAAAAGAAATGGGGATGTAAAGACCTAACAGCTTTAACATGTTTACATTAATAGGGCTAGTTTTCCAGTTTCCATTAATCCAAACAAATAACTTATGTGATGCATTTGGTACATTGGTGAGATTCATACCACCTGGTTGTTACCCGTCCAGAAGTAAATGTCTAAAATAGATTAATTGTTCCTGTGCAAATGCCTGTCTCCTCAATGGATTGTGTAAGACACTTTGGAATAGGTACTACTTCCAGAGGGCTAAAGTTAATTGATACAAACCTCACTGTGGGCATCTAGAATGGGATCATTGTATTCATAGATGGCAAAGCAAGAAAGTAGCTCTAGTCTCATAGGATGCATAGTGTGCACTTATTTCTCATTGCTCTTTGAGAATGGAGAGATAGTCTTCTGAATTAGAAGTATATAATAATTTTTTGTATTGTTATTACATTAAACAGAAGATGAGGAAATAAAAAAATGCTATTTTATTCCTAAAATTCATCTTTAGAAATGGTCTTACATGGCCTGACCTACAGTCTGAGGAATTTGAACTGTAAGTCTGAGCAAAATGTAGCTCAATTTTACTTGCAAGTACTGTAACAATGAAAATTGGTATAAACCAAGAGGAAAGAAGAAAAAGATACCAAACATAAAATAAGAAAAATATGATTGAAGGATTATGTTTACTCCTTACTGATGAATTGAAATGAGTGCCCTGGTAAGAAAATTGATGTTGTATTATGCAGAGGGATTATTTTTACAGAAGGTAGTCTATTGTTTAACAAAAAATCTTTTTAGCAGGCAAGTTAGCCACCTTAGCATTATAGGGAGTGTATGCTCGCCCATGCTTTATGCTTTCATAAAATGCTGGTTGGCTGTTATACTTAGTCATTATATATCTGTATGCTGCATGTTTTTAAATGAATAGCATAACAGACTATTTATATATATAAAATATAGTATTAACTATGTAGAGTTGGGCAAATTCTTCTTGTGCACTAGTGTAACCACATTCAAGTAAATGTGATAGCACAGCATGTCCCAGAATATAGGCCATGCATTAAAATTAATTGTACACAGGTAGCTGCAGTCTTAGGTGTAATGTTTTTTGCTATACATTGTAAAGTGAACTAGTAAAGAATAGGTTATTCTGGCCTAGAGCTAGTTCTAGGCATTGTTGCAGAGGTATTCGAATTTTGCATTCCAGTCTATCAAAGCTGGAAGTGTCATCTGGGCAGCATGAGGAACATTTGAAAATGGCAAGAACCTCATATAAATGCTAAATTGCTGTCTGTGCAGTGTCTCCAGTCTCTTTGGGGATCTCCTGCTAAACAGTTTGCACCCAGTTTGGAGGAATTTGCTGCTAGAGAGCTCTGCTCTGCAGGAAAAGTCCTTTTGTCACCCAGCTCCATATAGCATGTTGGGGAAGAGGAGTAAGTTTACAAAGAAATCTCACAAGAAGAATAGAAATGGGTACTAGAACTACAAAATGTTTATCTGCATGTTTCCTATCATACATAATGCGTTTCTTTGTTTCTGAAGTTTTCTGGGTAAGGAGACCAGTTCTACGTAATGAGGATTCACCACCCTGTTACGGTTAATACTGTTGCTCTAGTACTGCCAGATTTCCAAGAAAACACTATGGCTTACTGTAAATCCAATATAACCGTACAAATTCTATTCCCCAGGACATATTATTATGGTGGTTGTTGTTCTCCTTGAATGTTGTCCATTTACATCCTGGAATTTCCACCTTCTTTGCCCACTTCCAAAGTTGTTGTTTGCTTTCAAACTTTTTGTTTGAAAGTTTTTATTTATATGTATTTTTATATATACAGCGCTTATGCTGCAGACGCAGTTGTCATTCATATCAAATGTAGGATATATTTTATCAGCTTGTTTTCCCTCATTTCAGAAGTAGTATTTCTGCCATTCCTTTTTTATTCTTCTGATAGAAGAACTCCTCCGTGGAGTAATCTACTATCCAGTACTGTTCGGCCATTTTATTGGGCAGTTTTTATTACACATAGTTATCCAACAAGGATTACTTTCCCTAGCTCATATAAAACCTATGAGTCCAAGTATCCTTATTACATGTGCGTTTCACTGCATATTCTGCTGACTTAAAGTGTAGTCTTATCCAAGCTATTTTTAAAACTGACAACTTGCTGGTTTTCACCAAGTTCGTTATTTATGAGCTTTTGTGTGGCTATGTCATTGGTACAAAACTTCCCCAGTCCTTTAACTCCATCCAGAGGGTAATTATTGCTGAGGCTTCTTAACGCGGAAGTTTCATGGCAAGTTCCAGAAGCAGTACTGTTCAAAACAACTATAAACCTAAATAAAACAGATTAAACCTAAATAACTTTGTGTTAGATGGTATTTAGTGGTATTAGGTTGGTACTGAAACACTGGTGTTAAGTGCTATTAATTAATGGTCATTTTTTAAACATTACCTTTCAGTGAAGCCCCCTTTCATGTACATATTCTTTTTTGTCAAGGCAGTACAGTTCAGATTGTTCAAAGTTGATCATTTGCAGTCCTTCTATCTTTTGTTGTTTGTAAACTGAGAGTGCTGAATCACCCACGTGCTCTACAATCTCTGCAGAGGCACTAACCTGATTATACCCTGTGCTTTAAAAAAGCCTGTCTTAAAGCTCCATACCATAGTTCCCTATGGCCTCTTGATATTTTCAAAGAACATTTATACTTTATAAATACATTAATGTAATGTAAT